AGAGACGGGGTTTCACCATGTTGACCAGGATGGTCTCGATCTCTTGACCTCGTGATCCACCCGCCTCGGCCTCCCAAAGTGCTGGGATTACAGGCTTGAGCCACCGCGCCCGGCGACGAACTTCTTACCTTCTAATTCTTCTAGCTTTTCCAACAGAAACACACTGAGCTGTTTGCCATAGCACATTGATATCCCTACATGATCTTATTTGTCCTTGCGGTAGGCAAAAGATGCTTTAGCCAAAAACTATTTTATTGAGTAAAAACCTATGTTCTGTTCTTGATAACCAGACACTTGTTTTGTGATTTTAGTCTTTGGAAAGACTTCCCAAACATCTCTTTCTGGCCCTATGAATTATATTACTTCTGGTGCATTGAGAGGCAGCTTTATTCACTTGATGACCCAGGTAGGCAGTGTGGCATCAGCAACACTTCTTTTTAAGTGGCAGCACAGATACCCTCCTCCTTCACAGTTGATTGGTCAGTTTCTAACCAGCAAAATCCTAAAATCAAATTAATTTTATTCTGTAACATAATCTGAACATTTTCCTCTCTGCTCTATTTTCCTGAAATTCACCTAAGAATTCTTGATAATCTGCTGGTACTGCTTAATTTAACTACAGCAATGGCGTCATTGCATAGGAGAGAAGTTTAAAATTTCGTGATGTGTCACAATCCATTTATAGAAATTTGGTTGCTCTATAAATTTATAGAAACTAGATTTTCATAATGATAGATAAAGCAAATGGTTGTAAAAAGTTGTATAGTAGTTTACAGTTAGTACTTAATGATGAAGGGGATGATGTAAAATAAAAGGACATTTTTAGAGTTTTACAGTGAAAGTTACAAGTACTTAAAAAATATTCTTATAAGATAATTATAATGTTATATGTCTCTGATGACAACACTAAAAGATAAACTTTGGTAATTGGTTATTAAGATTAATAACATAATGTGGGAATTGAAGAATAAGATATTTGACTTAGAAAGGTTTTATTGGCCAGGTGCAGTGACTGATACCTGTAATCCCAGCACTTTGGGAGGCCAAGGCGGGCAGATCACCTGAGGTCGGGAGTTCGAGACCAGGCTGACCAACACTGAGAAACCCCGACTCTACTAAAAATACAAAAAATTTATCTGGGCGTGGTGGCACATGCCTGTTATCCCAGCTACTGGGGAGGCTGAGGCAGGAGAATGGCTTGAACCTGGGAGGCATATGTCCTCAGTCTATTGAGTATAAACATAGGTAGAATTTCTGGGCTCATAGAGTATATGTGTGTATCCTCAAGTTTAGAGGACATTGCTGAAGAATTTTCCAAGATATTGTACCAGTTTGCATTCACATTAGCTGTGTCTGAGTGTTAATTGCTCCATATCTTTTTCAACACTTGATGTGATCTGTCTTGTATTTTAGCCACACATATGTATGTGTGTGTGTGTGTGTGTGTTATGGTGTTTTTTTTTTTTTTTTTTTTTTTTTTGTCAAGACATCATTGCTTTGCATTCACTGTGGGTTTTAACTGATGTGTCCCTGATGACTAACACAGTTGAGCGTGTTTCATGTGCCATTTCCATATGAGTAAGTGATGGTCTTGTTTTTCCTACAAGATTGTCTACCTTTTTCTTAATAATTTATAAGAGTTCTTTATATATTCTGGATATGAGACTTTTGTCATACATATGAATTGCAGATATCATCTGCCACTCTGTGGCTTTGCCTTTTCATTCTCCTAGCGGTATCCTTTAGTGAGTAAAAATTCTTACTTTCCAGAAGTCCAGTTTATCCTTTTTCCCTCCTTGTAATTAGTGCATTTGTGCCTCTTGTTTAAGAAACCTTTGCCTAAGCCAAGATTATGAAAGTACTATCTTGCATTTTCTTCTAAAAGCTTTATGGTTTACTGTTCACAATTAGATCTGTGATCCAACTGAAACTGTTTTTTGCATACAGTATGACCTGGGGTGTCATGGTTCTTTTTGTCCTCTCCATGTAGCTATACAGATAACCTAGTCACATTTATTATAAAGATCATCCTTTCCTCACTGAATTGCAGTGCCATTTTTGTCATAAATCAGGTGACCATGTATGTGTGGGTGTTTCTGGCCACTCTACCCTGTTCTATTGGCTGTTTTCTGTCCTTCTGACAGTGCCACCACTGGCTTAATTACTATAGTTTTTGGTAAGTTTTATAGAAACCTTTGCTATCGGAAGTCCAGGTCCCACAGCTCTGTTGTTCTTCAAATTGTCCTTAACTGTTCTTGGTCCTTGGTATATTCCTCTTGCTTTTTTTAATTTTTAAAAAATTAACCTTAATTTTAACTAGAGAGTTACTTTGAAGTTTTGTAGAAATTTTACCTCCTTAGTTCTGTGTAACTTGATGTAGTGTGGTTCTGATATATTAGATAAACAGTGAAATTTATACAAAAGAAAATGTTTGTGCATTTGTATTGGCTTTGCTTCACAAATATGCAGAGCAGGATAAAATGAAGTAGATACAGGCAGACAGAAAATAAGTGTAAGACAAAGAGAATCAGTTATGAAACTCACAGTATCCATAATATAAAAACAAACAAGTTACTACAAAGGAGAAGTTTTCCTGGGACTGAAAACTTAAGATGTGAATTTTCTACTCTGTTGGCTTTTAAGGAAGATAAATGTGATCTAGCAGTGCTTTGGTAACATTTTGGACATGATTTCAAAGCCCAGTTTATCCAAACAGACAGTTCTGTCATTCCATATATGTGGTTTTCTGTTAGTCTGACTTGATCCAAGGAGAAAATGGGCTATTTTTTATTTTAAAAATAAAATGCATATTACTCAAGTAATCTTTTATGAGTGAATGAATGAATAAATGACAAAAAAATTTTAACCATTTTTTAAATAAGAATTAGACAGCAGGAACTTTAGAATGTATCTTTGATAAGAACCTGTGTTGTTCATTAAGGTATATCTGGATACTTTGATAGACAGCTGAGCAGAGTTTATAAAAATTAGTAATAATAATAATAATAATATTGCATAGTAATAATACTTTGTTGCCAGGAACTGAAATAACTGCTTTTATTTACATTTTAAAATGTATTACAATAACTCCTTGCAAATAGGTACTATCATTATTCCTATTTCACAGATTTAAAAAAAAGTAAGGCAAATATCTTGCCCAAGATTATACTGCAAGTAAGTAATAGAATCAGAATTCATTTCTGGCTACTCTACCTCAGTTTCTACTACATTATAATGCTGATGAAAATTAAGAAGCCTAATGAAGGATTTGTGACTGAATTTGGAAGTTAGGAAATTCAGATAGAGCTCAAGTTTACTGTCAGGAAATAGTTTCCAAGTCTACTCCCATACAAATGCATGGGTAAAGAAAAATACATTGTATTTTGGCAAACATTTTGCTTGAGATAAAACAATTCTGCATTTCCTCTAACTTGTTTCTTTAAATTTGTACTTAAGTAAATCCCAATCTTCTGAATAACTATTGTCAAATATGGTCATTTTGAATATTGTCCCTTTTACTTTTTAAAAAATGAATATTACACTTTCAAGAAACCAAATGGCTTGCCTAGTTACTGCTGTAAAGAACTGAAATGTAAGCAAATTAAGTTACTTTAATGCTTTCTATAAAGTCAATTTTGGATGCATGTCTTCTTATATTTTCACAGTTTTGAAATATTTTCTGACTTATTTTAAAGATAAATGTTCTTTTTGAAATTATTTTATTGAAACTAGGGGAAAATGTCCATTATGTTTTACAGCTGGCATTCCCGAAAACTAAATGAAAATTGCAGAGCCAATTTAGTCATGTTATGATATTTATACTTTTGTCAAAATACTTGCATTTTAAGGCTTGTTTGTGCACATTGGTTTTGAAATGAATTTAGTAATTTATGTTTGAAACTCATTTCATAAATATAAAGTAACAACTCTATGGGATTATCTCTGTTCATAGTAATCTGACTAAATAAAATGTATTGAAACCGTTAACATTTTTCTATGTTAATTTTCAGGTTGAAGGTTTAGAACAGATGTGGAAAGATGTTTACTTCAGAGAAAGGAGTTGTGGAGGAATGGTTGTCAGAATTTAAGGTAACATTTACTGTTGTACTGTAGTAATTATATTCCAAAGAAGTTTTATCTGGGGTTTAAATTCCAGTGATTTTTGCATTTTATATGACTGAAAGGCTAAATATCTGTGGGAAGAAATATTTTCTATCAAATCTCAATAGAGAGTTATTAACATAGTAATCTTTTCTGGGAAATTGATTCTTTTTTTCTCCCAAGTGGTTCAAAGAGTTTGTTTGTTTGTTTATTTTCTTTCTTTCATGGAAATACCACAAAGTAGTTAAAATCTCTGAATGTTGATGTCACTCTTCAACAACCATCATTGTCAAAATGTTTCTTCCAATTTGAAGGGCAGTGGAACTGGGCGTGACCAACAATGAGGAGAAGATGGGAAGATATTTGCTCCACTTTATAGCAGTGGATCTTTCTCTAGTTGACTAACCCAGTAGTTGTATAAGGGGTGTATAACCTTTGATTAGTTAATGAAGAAAATAAAATTTATATTTTCTTATCTCATGAACCTTTCTCTAGGATAGCTAAGACACTGTTTCTTAAATCAAGCTAATTACTTTTCTCTGTCCTTATGTGACACATAATTACATGCACTTGTGTGATTATGAACCACAAGAATAAAGAGTTTTTAGGCTGCAACTGTCACTTTGATTTTGTCCAGCCCGATCAGCCCAAGACCTTTAGGGATAAAGTTACAGTCTGACAAAGTCAGGGTTATTGGCTTTTTGCAAGTGAGAGAGTTTGCCCAACAGATACCATGGGACCATCTCACCAAACTAAAGAAAAAATATAATTATAGTAATTTGGAGGAAAGGTAGAGTTTAGGTGAAATTTAAATGAAATGGTATCCTGGTAGGCTNAAAAAAAAAAAAAAAAAAAAAAAAAAAAAAAAAAAAAAGAAAAGAAAAAAAAAAAAAAAAAAAAAAAAAAAAACAGAGCTGTATATAATGGGGTGAACATTTGGTCTGGCCTTCAAAGTAGAGATCTTGTTGTCTTGAAAACTACAAAGTTAACATAGATTTGAAATGTGTTTAGAAACTCCGTGTTTATATGTCTGCACATGGGTTGAAAATCAAGGCTGCTTCTCTTTTTTTTAAGAGACGAGGTCTCGCTATGTTGCCCAGGCTGGAGTGCAGTGGGTATTCACAGGCGCGATCCCACTACTGATCAGCACAGGAGTTTTGACCTGCTCCATTTGCGACCTGGGCCGGTTCACCCTTCCTTAGGCAACCTGGTGGTCCCCCGCTCCCAGGAGGTCACCATATTGATGCCGAACTTAGTGCGGACACCCGATCGGCATAGCGCACTGCAGCCCAGAACTCCTGGGCTCAAGCAATCCTCCCACCTCAGCTTCCCAAGTAGCTGGGACTACAGGCACGCGCCACCGCGCCCGGTTCAAGGCTGCTTTTCTATGTCAAAGTGACTTAGATACTCTAGGCAGGAGTGGAATGTTTTGTTCTTACTGATATGTATTCAACAACAAAGTTTTTTATCATCTGTGATTTTAGACAACAAGGCCTCTTAGTAAGTAAGAATTTAATAGTCACTCAAAGAAGATTGTTATGACATTTTTCAGTTGCAGTGTATATTTAGGAAAAGCACTGTTTCCTGTTAATTTTACAGCTGGCTTTATCTGTCTCTTTTATCTAATCCTGATAAAATAGCTGGGCAGACTTTTACTTTCTCAGCTTTTATAGTCATGAATTGAGCATCCTTCTGTGAATTCCCTAAGTCATCATGAAGCGACGTAGAATGTTACAGAAGTGCTTTCTACATTTTTTAGTAGTTTGTAGTTTGCGGTCAGATGTGGTAGCTCATACCTCTAATCCCAGCACTTTGAGAGGTGAAGATGGGAGGATCACTTAGCCCAGGAATTCAAAGATGCAGTGAGCTATGATGGCACCACTGCTGTCCAGTCTGGTGACAGAGTGAGACTTTTGTCTCTAAAAGAAAAATAAAACAAAAAAACCTTTGATTAAATCTTATATGTGTATTTTAACAATTTTTTTCTCTTTTTCTCTTTTTAAAGAGGCAGGGTTTCACCATATTGGTCAGGCTGGTCTTGAACTCCAAACCTCAGGTGATCCGCTCACCTCAGCCTCCCAAAGTTTTGGGATTACAGGCATGAGCCACCACACCTGGCCCTGTGTGGTTTTTTTCTGCGTATATTATCTTTGTGTTTGAAATAGTCTGTTATCATGGCTTTTTTTTGGCAGATTGATGGAAATTGACAATTTTAACAATTGAGTGCTATTTCTTCTAGGGCATTCTTATGTTTAATGATGTACTAAAATATGCAAAAGCAAATATAGCCAGTTATCCATTCTTTAAGATGGGAGTTGTGGAAAGAGGGAATGCTAAAAGGTTGGTTGTAGGGGTAAGATCAGCTATTAAGGTAAATAATGAAAAACCATGACTGATTTCCTTCCCTTCCCATCTGTTCACTTACTCGTTTCCCCTCCTGGTTTGCATATATGGACACCTAGGAAGTGCAGTAATGAGGAGGGCCAGAGCAGCGGTTATTGGCAGTAGAGTCTGAGGAAGCAGGTGGTTGGTGTAAAGGGTTGCAGAGATGGCATGTCGAAGAGTAGCCAGAGTAGTTACATTGGTAGATTGGTTACATTGAGCAAATAAGTTAACTGAACAAATAAGTAAAATTTTGAGGATAATGGGAGTTAGATTTCTGTCTGTCTGAAAAAAGGAATTACAATCATGGAATAGGGAAAGGCAAGAAAGAACTCTAAGGTGTTGTATTGGAATTATTATGAACTCATGGGTTCTAAGTATGTATATGTATATATGTGTGTGTGTGTGTCTGTATATATATGGATACATGTATCTCATAGCTTTGTTCACTGGGAGGACCTAGAAACAATGGCACCCCAGTAGTAATGAGAACCCTAAGCACACAGATCTTCTTTTCCAAATACCATCTTCTGCTACAAGAAAGCAGAGAATGAATAAATAGAAAGTATTAAGAAATATTTTATCAATATAACATTATATGGGTAGCAGTATTTTATTAGCATTTTAAATAAATTTAATGCAAGCATAGGAAACTTTTCCTTTAGGAGGAGGGAGTGAAATCTTGGCCTGCAGGAAATAAAATGTAGTTTAAGTAGTTTTTCCTACCCAACCCCAAGATTAAATTTACCCACTTTTGAGTCAGTTTGATATTCAAATGTTTTAAATTATCTTCAAATCTGTGTTATAGCCAATCAAGAAAGGGTTTCTCCTATTCCTTGGTTAATTTGGTAGGCATTCCTGAGAATTATTTTGAGTGCTATTCTAAATTGAGTTAATGTGTGTTGAATTCAGCTCTATGTTTGACAAAGAGAAGTTTATCAGGCAAAATCAGCAGTATATCAGAGGTAATGGAATATAGAAAAGTGCTTGGGAACATGTCTACTAAGTACTTTTAAAATGAGAGTAACGTATCTTTTGAAATCTCTGATCTTAAAGTACATATTTTTGTTCAAATATTTCAGAAAGGAGGTTTTATTTACATACATATTTCTAGAAAAGCTTCTGCTTGGTTTGTTTTACTAACCATGATGCTAATAAGGCTAAGTCATCATGATTGATTAAGTGAGCTGAAAGTCAGAAACCCTTTGATTTAATTCTAATTCTCCTCCTAGGTGGTTTTATGATGTTGGGCATAACTATCCTGGGTCTCATATTTTCGTCAGAAAAGTTGAAGTACTATAAGTGGTTTATGAAGATGGTTTTTGGCTCTACATTGTTCCATGGTCACAATCTGAACTCCTAACCTCACTCAACATCTCTCAAATGTGTAGAGATGACACAATTTGCTTTGTGCAAATATTTTATTTAAAATTTTTGAAATTCATGGCATAATCATTGAAATAACAAAAAAAAGAAAAAATTTTGAAACTGAAAATTTGGTAAATTTGTTCAGCATCTGTTCTAGTTATGGACTCTCAGTATTTTCTTTTTTTAAAATTTGAGACAGGGTCTCCCTCTGTCACCCAGGCTAGAATGCTGTGGCACAATCTTGGCTCGCTGCAACCTCTACCTCCCAGGTTCAAGTGATTCTCATACCTCAGCCTTCTGAGTGGCTGGGATTACAGGTGTGCACACCACACCCAGCTAATTTTTGTATTTTTAGTAGAGATGGGGTCTCTCCATGTTAGCGAGGCTGGTCTCAAACACCTGGCCTCAAGGGATCTGCCTGTCTTGGCCTCCCAAAGTGTTGGCATTACAGGCATGAGAAACTGCACCTGGCCTATTTTTTTTCTACATGAACCAAATGATTAGTCCAGGATTTCATTATCTTAAGATCTCATGAATAGTTTAGGATTATTTTATTTACTAGTTCTTCACCCATCTGTCCATCTTCGTTAATTCTCTTCTACTCAACCCATGTATCACCTTCTTAAATTTTTGAAAAACCGTCTGTCAAATGATGCTTTAGTATGAGGCATCTGTCTTCAATTTTTTTTTTTTTTTTTTT